ATTTTTTCCCCCCCTATAATTTTATGGAATAGGGGTTTTTGTTTATTAAATTCAATTCAATTCAAAACATATCATTTTTATCAGCATATTTTTTATTAATAAATATAATTATTGTTTTCATCCACGTCTGGATTTTGTTCATCGATAATTTCGAATGGAATCTCTTGATCCCATTGTTGCTGCAGTTGTGCATTAAATGCATCAATTGCTTGCTGTTGCTCCTGATATCGGAGATTACGACGTCTCCAATAATCATCAACTTCAGCATCATCAACAGGATTTGGATCATCATTTTGATCGTTATCCTGATTATTTTGATCATCATTATCAATGTTATCTACATTGATATCGAAAATATCATCGATTGACAGCGGTTGATCAGGCTGTTGTCGCTGCAATCGTTCAATTTCAACGTTCTCACGATCAATATCGTGTTGTCGTTGTTGTCGCTCACGTTGACGGTGAGCGAAATTCAGTTCATATTCGATTTGTTCAAGAATTATTTCTTGAAGAATTTCATTAAATGCCAATTCTGCTTGGCGATTTAAACGTTGAGCATTGAAAATTCGCATTTTTTCCAAATAGAGTTATTATTTTTGATGAAATATTTTTTTAAAAAACTTTAAATTGCGTAGCTTTGATTCAATTTAGCGTTCTTTAAAAGTATAGTTTTAAAGTTTTCATTGATTTCTAAACTGGCTTAGTATACCAATATTTATATGAATTATAACAATAAAAAAACAACACAAATTTTATTTATCATTAACTAATAGGATAGTAATTAAATAATTTACTAAACTGCTTATTTATTTTATTTTAAAAGAAACACTCTGCCAAAAAATGGCATTTGAGAAAAAAGAGAGTAAAAGAAAAAAATTATAATTTCATGTTTACATATTGTTTACAAATATTGTTAAAAATCAAAAAATTATTTTTACAATTCACAAATTGGCTAGCACTGGTTAAATAATGATCATTCAAATTGTAGAATGTGCAATTGAACAAAATATGTTGCGGACTTTGATATTCGTATCCACACTCACATTCTGGTGAATTGACTAAATTCATAGATTCGATTCACATAAAAAAAAATAAAAATACATAAGATGTTTTTTGTGTGGAAATAAAATCGATATTTTTTTAATCAGAAAAAAAAATATTTGTTTTGGGGTTGTTTGTTCATAATTTGATAAAATTAATTTGATTCATAACTAGATTCATAACTAGAGCCATCACATTAAGCTTCTCATTTGAAGCAGCAATTGAAATAGTTGAGAAATTTCAACCATTTATTTTCATTTTGTTGATGCCGAATTGGCATCATGCAATAATCTTCAGGATAATCTAAGATTAAAATTTGATTAATATAAAGACAGGAATTGAATTTATCAAATTCACTTACACCTGAAGTTGTGATAATTATCATTTTCTTCTATAATGTTATTATCGAAATAATTTATATTTTTGGAACTTAGATCAGTCATTTCGATTTCAACTATTATACCATTATTTTTGGCATCTTTTTTAGTGACAGAATATGACATTTTTATAAAATGTTTTGTTTTCTTCGATCAATAGACAAATATAAAAATGATTCGATAAAAAAATACTTATGAAAATGGCCGGTAGATTTGAAGTGATTTTTTTCTAGTTGAAACTATTTACATATTTATATAATTTATTCGTTCATTGTTGTTAGAAAATTTTTTTCAATCAAATTTATACAAATAAATGAAAATTTAATTTGCCCATTTTGAGTTAACAAATGAAAAAATTTATAAATTTCGACCATATCGAATCGTTTTTTTTACAAAAATTCATTAGCACTTGTGAAATTATGATTATTTAGATTATAGAATGGGTAATCAAACAAAATATGATGCGGATCTAAAACGCGTAACATGCCAGTTGAAGATATAGTGATATTCAAAAAAATTACAATGAGCATCACAGAAGGCACCAGGATGAATATAAACATTTACAAGATCTAGTGATATTCCAAACTTGAAAATGAGATGATTTGAGTTGTCTCATAATCAAGACATGACTCACATAAATTGTAACAACAGGATACAATTAAAAATTAAAACAAATTAGAAAATTTTTAATAAAAATTTTAAAAAGAAATATGATAATAATTAAATATCGTCAGGTTTATTATTATTATCATCATTTGAACTTGGCTGTTTGGCAACGCAGCACAATGATCGCAAGAAATTCAATCGTTTTCGCCAATTTCTTCGCCGTGCTGTCTGTTGTTCTTTATTCATCATAACAGGATTATTATTTNTACAATTAAAAATTAAAACAAATTAGAAAATTTTTAATAAAAATTTTAAAAAGAAATATGATAATAATTAAATATCGTCAGGTTTATTATTATTATCATCATTTGAACTTGGCTGTTTGGCAACGCAGCACAATGATCGCAAGAAATTCAATCGTTTTCGCCAATTTCTTCGCCGTGCTGTCTGTTGTTCTTTATTCATCATAACAGGATTATTATTTATTTTCATGGATTCTTCCACTGAAAGTTCTTTCATTTCATAAAAATCATCTCGTTTCTGAAGATCAGCGAGATTAATTTTAATCGAAGGAAAATCTTCGATCTCCGGTATCGATTGTATATCGTCACTAGCGGCCATGTCAAGTATATTTTTTAAACTAGATCGCCATTCTACAGGTATATTTCTGTAGTTTGTTTGCCGTGTAAAACGATCCAGCCATTCAAATTCTCTAGCAATTTCATCATCAGAACCAATTCGTTCTTCGAATTCACTTGTCGTTTCGACATAATCGTCTGGATCGTTTATGATTTGGAATTCTTCCAAATCTCTAGCCAATTCTCTAGCTTTTAGGTACTCTTTGTGTACCACAGCATAGAATTTTTCAAGTCTGTTTAAGTCATCCATTTTTTTGTTGATTCGATAGAGTTTAGTTATAAATTTGATAAATAAAAATTTTTAAAGTTTTTTGATTCAAAAATTTTTAGTAAGTAAGAAAGTATTGTGTAAAAATTAATCACTAATAGCTAAACTTGCTTTGTATTTATATGATTCATACGTTAATTGTTGACCATAAAAAATTGCATAATTGTTTTGTTTTTGTAAATGAATTTAACTAAATTTAACTAAATGTATGAACAACAACAAAGTTTTTTTTTTGGTATAGAATTTTAATATACAAACAAATTAGTTAAAAAAGATTTTAGCATTTCCTTCAGGGTAATTATTAAACCTGACATTGTGTTGTGGCTGTTTCCGATTTGAGCAGAAACAGCTTGAAATTGAACGCCATAAATGACGTAGACCATTGCTGAATCGAGTTCTCCAGTTATCAATTGAGATTGTGGAGTCATTTGGTCCCATCATTACAAAATTATGTTCCGATTCGGAATCATTTTGTAGATTTTGCGGTTGCGAGGGACCCATCATAACGAAATTATGTTCAGATTCAGATTGCATTTCAAGTTTTGGTCGTGAATCATGGAATACATTTCGTACATTTTCCATACTTGATCGCCATTCTACTGGTAAATAGCGATAATTT